TATTTTTCAAGGCCAAACAAATTTTATCATACACCCCGAAAATAGATTCATATTACGTCACATCACTGCAGATGACCTAATCTGAGGAAAAATAGAAGTCGATTAGACCCTGTCACTCCTGTGAGTCTAAAACTGAACGTAATTTGAAAGAACGGAAACTACAGCGGCTGTTTCAATTAATTTGCACAAGGGTGTAAGTATCTTTAAAGAATTAATGGTGTAAACTATTTCTGCTGCGTTTTGTTTAGTATTTCATAATAATAGTGAAACTGTGAGACCTTAAACAAAAACACCAAAACACAAGGAAAGTATAAAAATACATATTTATAGTAAAAATACCAGCAATAGATTTTTATAGAAAAAAAAATGACCAATACTTATTTATAGAGAATTTAATTGATATTGATATGGGCAAGTGGCCGAGTGGTTAGAACGTTCGCTTTCTCACCATGAGACCCTGGTTCGAACCTCACTGTTGTCGTTTTGTTATCGGTGTGCGACACCATCGGAAAGTTGACCAAACCCTTGTGAGTGAAATTGGGTAGACAGAACCCTTTTTTTGAAGCCGTTGGTGGTTGTGCTAACACGTATTTACAAACCATCGTGACCGAGTTTTGTTCAAACTGATTTGATCATGTTAGATAACCGGAAACTGTAAGTAAGGTTCACTCAGCATAGTTGCAGTATAAACCACAAACACAAATGTGCCTGAACAGGCGTCTTCAATGGGGATTAGCTAACCGATCTAGTAGACTGTCATCCTCAGATAAGAGTAGCTGCAAAGTCCAGTAAATGAAGATAAACTACATTCTTGCTGGCTCTGATCTCCCGATCGTGAGATTTGACGTTTTGAGGAGTCTGAAACCACTTCTTAATTACTGACCCGAGGTGGGAACACCTGTTAGAATCCTCGTTATGGCCAAATAGTGAAACCTTAAACAAAAGAAAAACACTATTAAAGTATATAAATATATTTTAATAGTAAAATACCAGTAATACATTTTTATATAGAATAATGATTAATACATATTTATAGTAAAATGAACAACAATACATATTTATAGTAAAATGAACAACAATACATATTTATAGAAAAATGAGCAGTAATACATTTTAAAAACATTGTTCAAAATATTGAGATTTCGGCATTGAATAATCCATAGGTGTTGATATGAACAACAAACAAAATCAACCAATCAAAAATCATAATAGTATTTTGATTTAAAATCTATAATTTCAAAAGAGAGCCAAATATTTAATAAAAAAAGAAACAAACTTTGATTTAAAATTTATAATTTCTTGGGGTGAATTAATATTTGCAAGAAGTAACTGAACATTATTTGGGATAACAGAAAAATACTGATTTTATTTTATTTTATTAATTCAAAACAACATTTCAAATTAAAAAAATTTTTTATTGTTTCTTTCGAAACAGCTTTGTCCCCAAATACCTTATTCCTCACGACATTGTAAGGAAGCTTCAATTTATACACATATAGAAACTAAACTCATGAGTTGAAAGCTTTTCCATATTTGTCAAGAAGGTTTGTAAAATGATCAAACAATTTGAAATCGTATTCGAACTGGAGCATTAATTATTATCAAAATAAAGCCATAAAACTCTACACTAGTTACATTATTCGGACTATTGTCCCCATCATTGTTGCCATATTTATCACAATGTTTCGGCCATTGTATGCTCCGGCCTTCTTCAGGTGGTTGGAATATCGAACTGAACCCTTTATTTCGCTCACTGGGGTAGACTGTTCTAGTTCCACGTGCCATGTCTAATGGATGTCATTTATCAGTTATCTCCTGTTAATTCCCCTCTCCGAGTTCTCCACTGCCTTAACCGGGTTAACATTGTGATAAATATGGCGACACAGATGAGGATGATAGTCCAAGCAATGTAAATAGTGTACATAATACCTCATCTCAGAAATATAGACAGACAGTAAAACTCTAAATTAAAATAAATTTAAAAACTTGTATTCTTTCTTAGAAACAAGAAAAATAAATTAAAGTTATTCAAAATTATTTTTTGATAAAGATATTAAAGCGCTTCGGAAATATTGTTTCTATATCACATAAAAAGATGCAACTCAAAGACGCTTATCAATACACATAAAATTTATTAGAATCTCATGTATTTTACAGATCGTGAAAGCTATTAGGGAGATGTGATTAAATATACTTTAATGTGTAAAAAAATTATTCAATATTATTATTGTTTAGGTAATAAGCATAACATTGCACAAACAGCTATATTTTGAGAAAAGGAATTTTCCACAATATACGCATTTTTACGTATTTATGATTATTTTTTAATTTTTATCAAACACGACATTTTTGTACATGTATTATGGATAATATTATTCATTAATTACTAATTTTTTTTAATTAATAACTATTTGTGCTCAGTTGTTGATGTTAATAGCTATCTGCCGATGTGTTAACATTTTAGAATAATGCAATAATAAAAATTTAAATTTCATCTCCTTGATAGATGTCGCGATCTGTTCAAACCAGCAGAATTTGGCCAAAGAGAGATCAATACGTAACAAGAGCTACAACTTCACATATTGAATATATATATATATATATATATATATATATATATATATATATATATATGTATGCATGTGTACGTGTGTGTGTGTGTGTGTGTGTGTGTGTGTGTGTCCTGTCTAACCATAACTTTTACAAGACAGGAGAGTCCATCATAAATAAAATAAGGAGTTACTTTCCAATCACCCTCACTCTCTCTCTCTATCTCTCTCTCCCCTCTCTCCCCCTCTCTCTTTCTCTCTCTATATATTTATAATTAAGATGTATATATATATATATGTGTGTGTGTGTGTGTGTGTGTGTGTGTTTGTGTGTGTGTTTGTGCAAATATATTAATAAATTAGACTGATAATCCAAAGTTCTTTAGTATTTTTGTTTTTATTTTTAAAATTCGCTTGAAAATAAAACAGAACTAGGTACTTTAATTTAATTTCTATAATTGAATTGGAAGTTTTTAGCTTCTGTTTTTGAAACATGGTAATTCGTATGTAGCGATGGAATCATATTTATAAAAAATAATTATAATATCTATCTACCTATCTATCTATATATATACATACATATATATATATATATATATATATATATATATATATATATATATATATATGTATGTGTGTGTGTGTGTGTGTGTGTGTGTGTGTGTGTGTGTGTGTGCGTGTAAAATATATAGAAAATAGGAAAGAACTCGTTAGGTAAATAATCCAAAGTTCTTTAGTATTTTTGTTATTATTTTTAAAAAAATAGTGCTCGATACAAAAGTAGAGCATAAATATAATTATTTATTTAAAAATATGATTCCAACACGCTACATAAGAGTTCTCATGTTTCAAAACAAGAGCCGAAAACTTCAATATAATTATTTGAATTAAATTGAATTAAAGTACCAGGCTCTGTTCCATCTTCGAGCGAAATTTTTTTTGGAATAACTAATTCCTGAAATTTACGCGTTTTATAAGCATATTCATTATTAAAATTAAAATTACTATGGTAACGGCTAGAGCAATTATTTAAAGAAAAGGGGCATGGCGGTTAATAATTTGTATCAATATCTAAGTTACATTCAAAGAGGTCAAGTCACACACACACACACACACACACACACACACACACACACACACACACACACACACACATATATATATATATATATAAGTTACGAAGAACTTGGTAAACTGAATGGGTAATTCAAGGAGGATGAAATCCTGAGAGCTCAATGTGAATACAGAGCTAATATTTAATGAAAAACAGACCACTTTAAGGTACCATTACAATAATTTATTTCACCAAAATCCTTTTTAAAGGACTCCGGATTATCAGGTAACAATTCCAACAACGAAATGAAAGGAAAAATATATATATATATATATATATATATATATATATATATATATATATATATATATATATATGTGTGTGTGTGTGTGTGTGTGCGTGTGCTTGTGTATGTGTATCTGTGCATGCAAGCGCGCGGGTGTGCCTCTGATTAATATATATTTAGGCAGCAACCTTTCTTTAAAACATCTTTCAGTTAAATGTGACGGACAAGGAAAATTTTATCAATTTTTTAATTAGTTTTTCCAGCGTTCTTACATTTTCCCCCGTTTGGTTGCCGTGAGGGAAGACAAAAACTTGTCCCAAACGCTTCCGGCCACTTCCTTAGCCATTTTCAAGGAGGTGGTGGGGGTGTTTTGGTGTTAGTTTGTTTTTCATGTTTTTGTGTATTCTCGTGTTCCTACGAGAATTTAACTCACACGCTCAAACATGAAAAGAAACTAACACGAAAATTACCCCTGGAAAATCGTTAAAGAAGTGGCCGAAAGCGTTTGGGACAATGGACAGTTTTTGTCCTCCCGAAGTTCAATAAAAAAAAAACAACCCTAAAACGCTGGAAAACTAAATAAAATAGAAACTGATGATGGAGACGAACAGACAGAGAAGTCTGTTTGTAGGCTGTAATAACTGCTTATATTTTACTGGAAATAATAAAATGTTTTCTGACGTAAGAACTGAATTCTTAATTTTCAAAGCAAAAGATAGGCGCATATTAAATTTTCGAGGACCTATTTTTCATATTTAGTACTTTTTTTAAAAATAAAAAAAAAACCTTATCATATTCAAAATCAGAATATTAGTTCCTTCAAGGGAAATCACTCTAGTTCAAATAAGAAAGAGTTGTCTACCCTGCATCATTGTAGTTTCTTTTTCAGATTGTTTTTTTTTTTTTTTTGCTAATGACATAAAAAATTGAAAATCTTCTTGATCTGTCGAACCGCCTGCTGTCAAATATAAAAATAAAATTTTTATTCTTCTATGCGCAGTGTCCCTTGAAGACATTGGCCATCTTGGCTTACCTGTCCTTTGTAGCTCTTAATAAATTTTGTCTTTTTGTTAAACTTTCTTCTGCCAAACATTTACTCGCTATGTTGGTCATGCGTTGCTTTTCTCTGTCCCGCTTGCCTGCTATCTATCTATCTATCTATCTATCTATCTCTTTCTGTTTCTCTCTCTCTATATATATATATATATATATACACACACACACACACACACATATATATATATAATTATTTATTCGAAAATTATAACATAAATTTGTTATAAAATCACTACAAAAATAGCCATTTGAAACAAAATGGCTATTTTTATAGTGATTTTATACATGTTTATGTTATAATTTTCGAATAAATAATTATATTCGCTTTTACTCTGTATTGAGCACTTTTTTAAGAATACTAATTGTTAGTTATTGAATTTATTCCGTATACACAAATCCTATACCGTATATATATATATATATATATATATATATATATATATATATATATATATATATATATATATATATATATAGAGAGAGAGAGAGAGAGAGAGAGAGAGATAAAGATCTGTTTGGTAATCTGCTTGGAGAATTTCAGGAGGATATAATCCAGAGAACTCAATGTAAAAACAGATATATATATATATATATATATATATATATATATATATATATATAAAGAACATAGGCTCGGTTCCTAAAAGCACTAAGATGCAAAGGGTTACTGCGAGTTAAAGAAACTGAGAAAATGTTTTTGAAAGAGAATTGACAATAAAAAAAACAGATATGACGATTCACATTGCATTTAAATTTATGAAAATCATAGTTCAGAGGAATGCAAAAAGTGTGAGAAAAAAAACTGTTAGCATAGATCTCATGGCTACATCTAGTAATTTCAACATTAAAAGGATGAGACCTATCTGCCAATCTAGTACTGAATTTAAAATTCGTTTAATCGTGGTACCGAGAAAGAAACCTCATCAGAATAATTACCATTAAAATATTTATAAAAAAAAATACACAGGGATGCTATGCTACAGCGGTGGGAAAGAGACTGCAGCTAAGATACCAGGTCAAGACCAATAATATTGCAGAATGCAGACCAGATGTAACAGCAATATTCAATTCATGGACGAATGGCAGATTTATAAAGTTGTCTCGAACAACACACTGAACAAACTACCCTAACAGCTGACATAGCAATTTTTTTTCGATATAATCGTTCCACTTTATACCAGTTGAAAGTGTTAGATTGAGAAAGCACAATGATGTATTCTCCTGGAGGTTAGCATCAGCCATGCCGATGAAAGGCAAAAAGTCCCTCTAAGACGATTAAAAGAGTGCAGTTAAATTTTGGGGGCGTTAAAATTAACAAGTCATTCAGTCAGTTATGTGCCATGCGTGATACAGACATAGGCGATCATGTATCTTTCGATACATAACTGACAAGACAGATTTTTTCCCGCAGTAAGTTGCAATTTCTTTTTGCGGTAGGCCAGTTGCCATCCAAGTCTATAGAACCCGGTCTGTCCTTCTATTTACCCATAGCTGGGGGAGAAGAAGAGGATGTATACCTTTCTCAAGGGTATTAGCACGTAACTGAAGGTAATGGATTCAACTGGAAAGTCATTCAGTCAGTTATGTGCCATGCGTGATACACACATAGGCGATCATGTATCTTTCGATACATAACTGACAAGACAGATTTTTTCCCGCAGTAGGTTGCCATTTCTTTTTGCGGTAGACCAGTTGCCATCCAAGGCTACAGAACCCGGTCTGTCTCTCTATTTACCCAAAGCTTTGTGGGAGGGGGGGGAGAGGATTCATACCTTTCCCAAGGGTATTAGTACGTAAGTGAATGTAATGGATTTGACTAGAATTCGAACTCGGCTCGAGGTGGCGTTCATGACAACATTGATTTTGTGATTTGATAAGAAAGATTTAAGCAAATCAAAAATTCAGTCTAATACACCATATCCCTTCAGCTTATGAAAAAGACTAGCATAAAACACTTTCGAAATCTAATGCAACAACCCGAGCTTCAACATTGTTGTTTAAAGTTTGACAGAAATTAGGATCGTTCGAGCTAGTTATTAGGAAATAACTGTTAACACATTGGCAGTTAGAAGTGAAAGCCATATTGCTTTACTGAAAGAAGACCATGTGATGTGAGATACTTTATCAGGTTGTGTTATATACACATCCTGATTCGATCGAGGGTCTTCCCCACGCTGTTCAGTACTGACACCGGTTAACTGATCGTTATATGTTGACCACTTCATTTCTTCACCTGCTCTGTACCACGTTGTGTTCTTTGATCACAGTGCAGTGAAGATCAAATTTTTGTCCGCACTTAGGCTCTGAATCGAGTTGGCGTGATATGAAAAAGGACAAGGATGCCTCCGCCGGTGAAATTACAAATATCATAAATCACGAACGAAATCGCTGGGTTCGTTTGATATAATTGTTGATACACAAGATAACCCTTCCAATGGAATCTAGTGACAATGAATCTTCTGTTCTACACTTGGAGCGGGCTAGCCATTAAAACACGGAATTATATCGGTCGGGAATTTCAGGCGGCTGGGTCACGTGGTTTCAACAGCTCTCCTCGTCCAGTGTTGATCCAAATAACATACGGTTTATATGCATCTCGCATACCTCTGACCACACAAGGGAGTTCCTAGAAGATCGATAGCACGAACGATCAAACTGTTTTAGTTCTTACAAAACAGAACCTACATCTCGAGAGTAAGTAGCCACAAGACATTTATTGTAGGGTTTGTAGAGAACATGGGGTCACTCCAGGAGCACGTTTCTTTAAGTCTATTACAGGCATATTATCATTTCCACATGCTTTGTGGGAATCAAGTTTAGAGACGATCGCAGAAAGCAAGGGACGAGTTATATGCATATCACACAAATTCAGTTCTAATTGGAAAACCAGGCAAATATACCCCGGATGCTACGAATCAAGAGCAGAATTGGAAGAATGTTTCATTGTCTCAAAGAACGAAATATTTGCCTCGTTCAGGGCACGTTTGCAATTAGTACGTGCGGACACAAAGAGGCGTTTATTGTGACCGTCGATAAAAGTGATTCCGCGTGTGAACCAAGTAGGCAGTTGTGATTTAACTTGGTATTACTGATCTCTAGGCCGGTTGATATTTTACTGCGTAGAAACAAAGTACCCCCCACCCGGCAAAAAAAAAAAAAGATAAAAAAAAGGGATATCTATTCAAACACGTGTAGCCACTAAATATGAAGTTTACATTAATAAAAAAAAAATATTATCAGCTAAAAAAAAATTAGATACTTTCGGATGGATTTTCTGACGTTTAGAATGAAAAAATAAAGTTAGCTGATATCGACTTCAAATGCGTGTCCGTCATGATTACTGGGGAAACGTGTGGGATATATCGTGAGAGATTGAGTGATAGAATACTTTGGATGCCAGCGAGATCAGTGATAGAGTGATTACGCAATCTGACATGATAGGCATTGAAGTCGCCGAACTCAAATATACTTACAAATGGCTGTAGAGGGAGGACCTTATCTATATTAACAGTTATGAGGGGAAGAGGAACAATAGAGAAAGAAGATATATTTAGAAAATTGAGTTTAGTAGAGAAAGACGGGTGTATATGTAAGAATAACCTAAAGAGATATTCCCGAACATAAACGCTAAGACCATGCATACGTCCTTCCTAAAGAACGTTCCGGGTAAGACGATAAACTACATCCGTGTCCTGGTTAAGACGATAAATTACATCCAACAGCAAGGCCTCTCATCAGGAGGTTTTGACGAGCGTGGAACCACATGTTAATTGCTCGTGTTTCAAGGTCCAAACTGATGCGTGGTGGTAGAACCTGTTAGGGTCCCAGCTATGGGTAAATAATTAACTCCCAAACGGTAGTGAAAGCAATATGAAAGTCTGAAAACATGTTTTAATACCAATAAAACATTTCTAGAAAAATATTACTAGCAATATATTACCAGCTAGACATTTAAAAAAAAAAAAGAAATATTATGAACAGTAATACATTTCTGAAAAAAAAAGAAAATTACCGGCTAGACATTTTTGAAAAAAAAAAAAGATACGAACAGTAATACATTTCTGAAAAAAATTACCAGCTAGACATTTTTGAAAAAAAATAAAATAAAAAATAAAATGAACAGTAATACATTTCTGAAAAATAAGAATATTACAAGCTAGACAGTTTTGAAAAAAGAAAAAGAAAAAATAATGTGAACAAAAAAACATTTCTGAAAAAAAAAAAAAATTACCAGCTAGACATTTAAAAAAAAAAAAAGGATATGAACAGTATTACATTTCTGAAAAAAAAAGAAAATTACCAGCTAGACATTTAAAAAAAAAAGAAAAGAAAAATAATATAAACAGTAATACATTTCTGAAAAAAAAATTACCAGCTAGACATTTTGTAAAAAAAAAGATAAAATAATATTAACAGTAATACGTTTCTGAAAAAAAAAAGAAAATTACCAGCTAGACGTTTAAAAAAAAGAAAAGAAAAGAAAAATAATATGTACAGTAATACATTTTTGAAATAAAAAAAAATAGAAAAAATAATATAAACAGTAATACATTTCTGAAAAAAAAAAGAAAATTACCAGCTGAATATTTTGAAAAAAAAAAAAAAAAAAAATAGAAAAAATAATATGAGCAGTAATACATTTCTGAAAAAAAAGAAAATTACCAGTTAGACATTTTTGAAAAAAAAAAAAAGAAAAAAAGAAAGAAAAAGATATTACCAGCAATACATTTTTGAAAAAAATACTATTAGCAATAAAATAAATATTAAATAACCCATTGATATGCCGTAAAACAAACCAAACCAAACCAAACCAAACCAAACCAAACCAAATCTTCCTAAAGTTGGGAATTTAGAGAAGAGGAGTGAAGATTTAAGATTATTTTCACAGAGAGCTTGGAAGTCCGGAGTGTGTTCTAAGAGAAACGATTCAACACTGCAGAAATTGGTATGAATAACACGAATGTTGGAGAAAGAAAGTTTTAAGTGTTTTTTGTTAAGCTGGTTTAATTTGTTGGTTGCTTATTGTCATGGTGTGTTATTTAGATTGGGAAAAGGCCAAGAATAATAGTTGCTGACCTGTCGTCTAAGGTAACGTGTAAATGGCTGGGAATTGGATCAGGCTGCAGCATAGTGTGATCTCGGAGGTGCCAACCGGAAGTACTTACAGGGTTACCCATCCATGCGCGACATGACACTGCAAGAACCTGGATATTATGCGACTGTTGAACAAAGCAGCCTCTCTAGACGCTACACGAGAGTTCTGGCTCCTAACTAACAGCCGAAATGCAGCAACCGGAAAACTGTCAACCCAGTGACCTCAATGTGAAAAGACACAGCCACTATCCATTCATATCACCGAAAATTCTTGACAGCCACCACTATTAAGGTCTCAGAATAAGAAAGGAACCTAAAACCCTTTCCTAATCAGGTAACAAGGGATAAGCCTTTACTCCTGGCCAAGAGAAGGGAGAGGAGTATGGATCAGATGATAGGAAGATCTATCTATTCCTATTATTGAAAATATGTCGAATACAGTGTAACCCGGATATAAGAGACCCGGATGTAAGAGAAACCCGGATATAAGAGAGATTTTCTCTGGTCCCAAATTAGAGCCTGTGTTAATGTATATAAAATAGACCAAACCCGGATATAAGAGAAACCCGGATATAAGAGACTTCTTCTCCGGTCCCAACAACTCTCTTATATCCGGGTGACACTGTATATCTATTACATGAATAAGGTTGGGTGGGTAATTAAAACTACTCTTATTGTATGAGGTGCCTCTGAACAAATCCTAATGGTATGAGTTCAATCCCTGGTTCAGTTACTGAAATAATATACAATGTTTCAGCAAACTATTTACTTTTCGTCCTCATCTTTGTTGCAATATTTATCACAACGTTTTGGTCGTTGTACGCTCCGGCCTTCTTCAGGTGGTTGGAATGTCGAACTGAACCCTTTACTTCGCTCGCTGGTGTAGACTGTTCTAGTTCCACGTGCCATGTCTAATGGATGTTAGTTATCAGTTATCTACTGTTAATTCCCATCTGTTAATTCTGCATCGCCTTAACCCAGGGCATAGTGGATAAAGGCGTTAGTTAGATTCATTGACAGGACCCAAAGTGTGTGAGTTCAATACCTGGTTAAGACAATGGAGAACTTAGAGAGGTGAATTAACAGGAGATAACTGATAACTGCCATCCATTAGACATGGCACGTGGAACTAGAACAGTTTACTCCAGCGAGTGTAATAAAGGGTTCAGTTCGACATTCCAACTACCTGAAGAAGGCCGGAGCGTTGTGATAAATATGGCAACAAAGATGAGGACGATAGCCCGAACGATGTAAATAGTATACTTAATACCTCATCTCAGAAATATAGACAGAGAATGTTTCAGCAGAAACAAACAAAAACTGGTATCGCAGGGAAAAATAATACAATAATCCATTTAGCAACCAAAAACATAATGAGTACTTAAAGATGACCAGAGGGTACTTGTTTGAAAAATATTTATAATAGCCAAGATGAGAACAACAGTTCGAAGAAGTTAAACTTTATGAGAACACTTTATTTCTTTCTTGAAATTTGTCACTTTTTCTTTTTTCCTTTTTCTTTTCTTTTTTTTTTGTAGATTACTCTGTGATATTGCAATTCTTCTTTTCCTCTCTTTCTTTCTTTCTTTCTTTCTTTCTTTCTTTCTTCTATCTTATATGTCCACTGCGCGATACGAAGCTTTCATTTTTTTCTCATTGACCATACGAAAGAAATTTCACTTTTTGTTTTAGTTTTAGTTCATTTTTACTCTGTCGAACATCTGGACGTTATTTTCCCCTTTTTCCGAACAACGAACTCGCCAGCTAAAATTGTCCAATAATAATCTCCATACCGTTTGGCCGCGCGAGGACGAAAACTGCCCCGTCCTTGGGAGTCGTATTGCTTTTTTTAATGAACACCGTATTTCAGAGACTAAAACGTCCATCTTCCGTATGGAGTCCTGTTTGCTAATAGTAACATCTCTCTCTCTATTTTTTTTTAAAAATAAATTCGCCCAAAACAAGGCGATAACTCCACTAGGACGCAGAGGACTCCTGGGAAGAGAATGCGAAGACTTTAGAAGGAACCGGAAAACCAATCCTAAACAGGAAATAAAAGATAAATCTCTATTCCTGTTCAATCGACTGGGAAGTATTGTGACCTGTGTGATTTGTAGTAGTAGCAGCAGTAGCGGTAGTCATCATCATCATCAACGTCATCATCATCAACGTCTTCATCATCAATTCCTGATAGCTAGAGCTGGGAGCATTTGTTAGGATACCAGTTTTGGGGAAAATAGTTAATCCAAAAAAACGGGGTTCAAAATACTATGAAAGTATAAAAATAGATTTTTATAGTAAAGATACCAGAAATACATTTTTGAAGAACAAAATATCAATAGCAATACAACTGACTCTCAACAAAAACCCTCTTTACACAAAATACGTCAATGAAGCCTGATCTACAAACATATTTCTTACAAAGAATGCATATTGTATTCATAGGAATGTATTCTAAAAATCTTGTCGACATTAAACAACCCATTGAGGTGTTGTTTTGTCGTGAAAACAAAATAAATCTAAACCTAAACTTAAACCTGAAATCTAACCTTCACATATTTCGAAATATATTAAACCTTCAATGTCCTATAGGTTAAAAATGTTCCCCGGGAAGAAATCGACAATATTTAACCTAACCCGTCTCCCCGCTAAAAGACACTGTGTCAAAAAGACGTTTCTTTTTTTTCACACCGCAATTACTGCATGCTTCTACGAGAATGTTTATTGTTTTAAAAAGAATTTAGTTTAGTTTCTTTAGAATTTTAAAAAGAACAAAAGTATTACACACTATTTACTTGTTAGATTTACAAGTTAATTTACAAGATTAATTTTATATTTTTCAAGATTATAGAATATTCAGATTGGCAATTTTCTTTAAAATGTCCTTGCTTCTTAATAATGTTTTTTTCTTTTTCTTATATTCTTTCTCACTCAGTAACTTCCCCTGCGTCTCAGAGGCTTTTTTGCCTTCCTTGGGGGGAAATGATTTTTAACAAATAGCTGACGTTTTTCATTTTTCATTCATGCATTGTAGTTGGTTCACATATTTTTATAATCTTGTCAATATAAAATTAAACTTTTATAAAAAATAAAATTAGTCTTTTCAGTATATTTTGTCTAACGACAAAAGAATTCATCCTCGTGTCTACTTTTCCTTAAAGAACTCAACAATGCAAAACAGACAATAGTTAACAATGGTTTTCCTAACCACCTCATCGATTACCAGATTAGCATATTTCTTTCTAAAGTAAATAATAACGACAATGAAGACATAGACAAAAACAATGCACGTCAACGATAAGCAAGATATATCTTCACTTAGAAATACAATAAAGAAATACATTATCCCAGTTGACCCGTACAAAAAATTAAATTGATTATCTATTATAATAAATTTAAAATAGCTAACCTTATCCTTTAAAATAGCAACACGCCTGAAAAATCAAAACTACAAAGAACCAACATTATTTACGAGTTCAAATACCCTTAAGGTATCAATGGAGAACGAATATATATACACATACTGGCAAAAACAAACTACCCAGAAGCACGTCCAACATAAGAAATATATATATATATATATATATATATATATATATATATTCTTTATAATAAGACAGTATGCATGGGAGGCACGTTTGAATAATATATGGCATCTCGGATTGATGAATCGGAGAGCCGTGTTCGAATTCCAGTCGGGTCCATTACATTCACTTACGAAAGGTATGAATCCTCTTCTTCTCCCCTCCGCCAGTTATGCGTAAATAGCACGACAGACTGGGTTCTATAGCCTTGGATGGCAACTGGTCTACCGCAGAAAGAAACTGCAATCTACGGCGGGGAAAAATCTGCCTCGTCAGTCATGTACCGAAAATACATGAACGTCTAAGTGTGTATCACACATGGCTGAACTTATATATGTATGGAGATCACAATACACAAAAATGGAGATAGGTCTAGAAAGATACAGGGATCATAAAAAGATACGACAATGGCTAAACATCGAAAACATAAGGAAAATTAATTCCTTGTAATAATATGTGGAAATAACCATTCTTTGCCTGATGAAGGTCGCGAGACCGGAAACCTGTGTAGCAAAAATATGGAAAATAAAGTAAAACTATACATTTTAAAAAATCCAAATTATAACCAAAAACGTTTTGGGTTTCTCTCTTCATTTTAATATATATATATATATATATATATATATATATATATATATATATATATATATATACTGGGTGCGGCGTGCTACTCTTTTGGACGGTTCCGTGTTTAAGTTGGTGAATATTGCCATAATACTTGCTTTAGTTCATCTTTGGTGTTACAAAGTGTTTTGTTGGTCTCCCTTTCAAATGACCTCCCCACATAATGATCAAGGGGTCTACAATCTGGGGAGTTACATGGCCATATGTATTTGTCTGAGTGAGTTCTCCTGCTTGTGTGACATGGTGCAGAGTCCTGTTTCTAGACATAGGGAATTCCAGCAGCCACCTTCTTCGCGCAGGGCAGCACTACTTCCTCAAGGTACTTGATGTAGAACTCCGTGTTGAATCTGAGACCCTCACCAACATATTCGGGAGTTCTTTTCCCATCACAACGATCTGAGTGAGTTTTCCGAGCTACCGTACCATTGTAATCAGCATTAGACTCATCCAACACTTTCCAAATCCTGTGCACTGTCCCCAGATTGACACTCAAACACTGAAATGTTCGCATTGGAGCTCTCGGTGCGAATAACAAGCATACAGCGCGCTCTTTCCAAGTTTCTGACGGAGTGAATTGCGTCATGGTGTTTCTTTTTCTCACAGATGGTGCCCAACTGACCTTACTATACTGTGCAGTCATAGAATCACATCCAAATGAAGCGGAAGCCTGAAATTAAAAATATAAAATAGCGACAATTTACCCATCGCACTCTGTATATGTCTCAAAATGTATCTTCGTTTCTGTTTCAAGAAATGTAGGTAATATTCGGCTATTTGATCGGTGATCGCTGGTCGTACGGGAACTGGTATTTCGACGTGATATGGCCGTAAGCCATATGAATTTGAAGTTGATGATACTGCACAAGAACCATTCAAGATGACCATGCACATCAACCACGCCCTGTGAAGCAAGAAAGGACGATAGAAAGGTTTCACAGAAGTCCAAGAAATCTATCAAGATGTTGATTACTGCTTGTGGTTCTATTGCGTTGTGTTGTCGGCAAAGTCTGGAAGAAAATGGACATCAATTTAAAAATATGCGATGACAAAATCTTAAGAACTCGCATTTATAATAAACACAGTCTTCCTATGCATTATTTAAATTACATGTAGCTTTATCCTAGGTGCTTGAATTATTTCTTGACAAAACTTCAAAATGTATATACATTTTTGAGACATGCTCGCTATTTCTGGTCCTTGCTAGATTAGATAATCGTTATATTTATTTTTTATATGTTTATATTTGATTTGTAACCTGTAGTCGATATTAATTTTGTCAAATTTTCTCAATTACACAGCGGCCCTTTCAGTAAATACCCTTCAGTTTTAGTTTCCCCCACCCCGTCTCTCTCCCCCACCCTTTTTTCTTTTCTTTTCCTCTCCCTCCCTCTTCTTCTGATCTTTAAGATTAGATCGTCTATTGTGTTGCGTATGTCAACATAAAATGTATCCTTTCCGGTCACATCTTTAATGTATTAGACATCCGACAACATTCATATTTCTCTCATTTAAACCGTCTTCAACTCACCTCTCTAAAACTCTTCTCTGTTAAGTTTTAGTCTCCCACCTTCTCTCGTCTGTTACCCATCTCTTTAGCTCTAACATTCGTCACACTATCAGTCTTATATATATATATATATATATATATATATATATAAATTTTTATTTTTTATTCTCGGAGTTGTTTTTTCTGTTTTCTTTTTGAATTTGTAGATCTGATGAATTGGATCGTATTTACGATTCAATGGAATAAATTATGACCATGGAATATTAGTGTTTAAGCCGTTTTATTTTATTATATATATATATATATAGAGAGAGAGAGAGAGAGAGAGTAGCGTAAAAGTCTCTATAAATTTTTAAGAGATCCTGTATATATCTACATCTCTCTCTCTCTCTCTATATATATATATATATATATATACACATTTCATTGAATATGACACACAAGGTTCTTTGATTTATTTTTTTATACAATTTCTCATGCGATAAATTATATAAAACTGTCCGAATTTTCTTTTATTCCGAGCGCTTTCGGCTGTACATTTAGCCATTTTCACGGATGAAATAGTTTGTTGCACGCATGTATTTATATAATGTTTTCATTTTTCAAAACACGGTCAAGATATCGTGTCCATGTTCATAGTTGATATTATTAAGTGTTGGGTTTTTTTTTGTTTTTATTAAAAAGGCTTCCATTATTTTTATAAATACATACATTTTTCTTATTTAACAGTTAAAATATTTCATCCTTGAAAATGGCTAAATGTATAGCCGAAAGTGCACGGTTTTTATATAATTTATCATCTGAAACATGAGAAATTGTATAAAAAGCTAAAACAAAGCACCTTGTCTGTCTTATTCAATGAAATGTGCCTGAAAAAAGGATTGCAGACTAAATACACAAATAT